ATATATATATATACATATATTATATGTATACATTTTTCTGTTCGTTCTTTTTATTATTATTATTTATAATTTATATTAATATTTTATATTAATTATAGTTATTTATATTAATATTTATAATAATTATTAAATTTAAATTGAAAGCAAAAAAATCGCTTTGAATATTATCAGGAAATTAAAAAAACGAAATGTCAATATAAATGTTGTTTGTTCGTGAAAATGGGAATAAGTGTTTACATATATATTGTGAACATTCTTTTATTGTAATACCGCAGTTCGTTTTCAGAACGCTTCTCCTCACTGCTTTAAACCCCGCGTATTTTCCCCCCTTTAACTCCGCGCACAATTTTGGTCGGCCATGGTTGGGACGTCATGCGCCATGACGTCAGCGCGTTAATGCGTTGAAACGTCGTGAGCTTCCCTGTGCACCTTTTGGAGTTTGTTTTCTTAAATTAGCATAGTTATTTAATCAAAATCATGATTATGAGAATTTAGAGCAGCTCGGATGGGATTGTGATATCGTTTTTCCAGTTTTTTTCTCTACCTGTAGTCGTTTTACCCGTACGTAGCGTCTATTTTTTAGGATTATGTCTATGAGTATAAGAAATGTCTCTCTGCTATTGCAATTATTGACCTGTGTTGATTACCTACATCTAAAGACAGACTCATGTCGTTAACCGATAAGTGTCCTGAATGATTTAATCTCGTCTTTATGTTGTTACAGATTCATCATGGAGGCCCTGACTGAAGCTCTTTGCTCCAGTTTCTCAGTGTCCAGAGAAGCAAACAGCACATCGGCTCCCCACCCTCGACTATGTCAGTACAAGAGCAAATTTAGTAAAATGGAGCAGTGTGAGAGACGCAGGAGGTTTCTGGAGTTACAGAAAGAGTAAGGCACAACCCAGGAACACCTTAGCAACTCCTTAGCAACCATCTAAAATAAAGATACCATCTTTTGTATCTTTCTCTCTTTGGGATCAGACAAAATGGGAGGGGGTGTTCGGGCCATGGTTGTTCTGATCCGTTTTTACCCAAAAGTTTGAATGTGATTGACAGGAAGAGGCTGAACTACGTGAATCATGCCCGCCGACTGGCAGATGGAGACTGGACTGGAACTGATGTTGAAGATGGGGAGGAGGAGGTGGAGAAGAGTGAGCAGCTGGAGGACTGCCCAGATGCTGAAGGGATGGAGATCGAGCAGAGGAAAAAGTTACCAAAGCATTATGCCAATCAGGTGCAGAAACCGTTAAATGAAAGTGTTGTTATTTGCTAAAGTAGATGTTCCACAGTTCCTACTCTTTAAATTTTCATATGATAAAATAATGCAACATTTGTCTTAGGCATCCTGTATTAAAACACACATATTTATGACCGTTTGTTTCCAGCCTTTTTTAATCCTTGCCTAAAACATTTGTGCATTACTGTATATTAAACCATTAGAGATTTAAACAGCCCATCATTTATTAACATTAAATTTAATGTTTTAATTATAAGCAATAAGATATCCCAATTCAAACAAATATACAG